CTAAAAATTTGGATTTAGAGGTTTTAGATGATGCTGATTAAGATGAGAACATCAAATGAGAAAACTAAATTTTGACGAGTGCTTCGATTCCTTGATGGCCTCATGAACCCTCTCTTAAAACTCTCACCAAGCGGAACAGATCTAAACATATGATTTCCATACGATCTAAAATATAATTTTTCAGTTCCACAAAATTTGTTTTGGTTGATGTTTGAAAGTGAGCAAAAATGAGTATCAAATGCTGACTCTTCCAAATATATCTTTTCGATACGATCTCAAATATAATTTTTCAGTTCCACAAATTTGTTTTCTTCGATGTTTGAAAGTGAGCAAAAGTGAGCATGAAATGCTCACTGTTCGAAATATATCATTTCGATACGATCTCAAATATAATTTTCCAGTTCCACAAAATCTGTTTTCTTCGATGTTTGAAAGTGAGCAAAACTCAGCATCAAATGCTCACTGTTGGAAATATATCATTTCGATACGATCTCAAATATAATTTTTCAGTTCCACAAAATTTGTTTTCTTGGATGTTTGAAAGTGAGCAAAAGTGAGCATCAAATGCTCACTGTTGGAAATATATCATTTCGACTCGATCTCAAATATAATTTTTCAGAGCAACAAAATTTGTTTTTTTATAAATTTAAAAGCGAGCATCAATTAACATCGAATGCTCACTTTTCGTAAAATATCTTCAAACAATCAATAGCAAAAATCTGAATAAGCGGGGGATATCGAAATATATCATTTTGATACAATCTCAAATATAATTTTTCAGTTCAACAAAATTTGTTTTGTTCGAAGTTGAAAGTGAGCAGAAGTGAGCGTGAAATGCTCTCTGTTCGAAATCTATCATTTCGATTCGATCTCAAATATAATTTTTTACTTTCATAAAATTTGTTTTGTTCGAAATTTGAAAGTGAGCATCAATGAGTATCGAATGCTTACTTTTCGTAAAACATCTCGAAACAAGCAATAGCAAAAATCTGATTAAGCGTGGGAGATCGACATGTATCATTTCGATATGATGCCAAATATAATTTTTCAGTTCCAGAAATTTTTTTTTGTTGCAAGTTCGAAAGGGAGCAAAAGTAAGCGTCGAATGCTCATTTTTGTAAAACATCTGTAGATGGGCTATAGGAAAAATTTTATTAAGCGTAGAAGATCGAAATATATGATTTCGATACTATCTCAAATATAATTTTTCAGTTGCACAAAATTTGTTTTGTTCTATGTGTGAAAGTGAGCAAAAGTGAGCATCGAATGCTCACTTTGCGTAAAACATTTCTAAACAGTCCATAGCGGAAATATCATTAAGGGGGAGATCCAAATATATGATTTCGATACGATCTCAAGTATAATTTTTGAGTTGCACAATATTTGTGCTGTTCAATGTTTGCAGGTGAGCAATGTGTGGATGGAATGCTTACTCTTCGAAAAACGTTTCTATAGATGGTATAGGATAAATGCTATTGAGTGAAAATGATCGAAATATAGGATTTACATGGAATTTGAAATATAATATGAAGCTGGTTCAATTAGGTGTTTGTTGAAGTTGGATAGTGTTTATTCTGATAGAAACATATGTATACTCTGTTACCGTAATAAGCTGATTCGAGAGTGGAGATGGAAAAATATGATTTGGGTACGATGTCGAAGCTAAAGACGGCCGCCTATGTCGTGAATCGGAAGTAATGGTTTATGTATTGATGGCATTGGATACTTGCGATTAACGGGATGAAGTACGTGAAGTAGTGTATGATGAAGAAATAAGTATTCAGGGTGATGCCACATAGTCATGAACTCTGATCTCAGTATTATCGATTGTAGTCTAGGGTTCTTTTTTGCGCGAATTGGAAATTCTAATCAATTTGGAGTTTTTGAGTGATCATTGGAGCTGGTAGTCACTATGGAATTATCTATCGTATAATAATGTTTGTCGAATTATGAATTATGCATAAGTTTTCAAAATTGAGGTGATGGACCATAGAAAATTAGAGTGAAATGAATATGGATATTTTTTATTGATTTTTTTTGCCTCATATAGAATTCGCCGATTTGTATTTTATTGAAATGTAATAAATTGAAATGAACTATTTTTGGTTTGACTTTTGTATCAGGAGGGAAAAGGGACGCTAGTGTGACACAATCACGGACATAGTCGTTGATTTACGTAGCGCTTGTTCAACTTAGTTTTCTTTTGGCTAGAGACATCTCTCGGTTCGATACAAATTGTTTCTTCTTACTATCCATATTATGTATAGTTCGTGATCGTAATCATATACACAAGAGAACAAAGAATTGTATTGTGTAATGACGAAGTTTATGGTTAATATAAACTTTTTGCTAGTTATACAGTTTGACTTTTAATATTTTTGTTTTTGATATTTCATTTCGTCAAAGATTATATTGCTTGTTTGTAGATGAGTTTTGATCTTAAACAATCTCTTAATTTCGCTGAACTTAAACGTTCTAGAAAAATACAACAGCATAATGAGAATAGGAAAAAAATACGTCGAGTATATTATGAATCATCACTGATTGATAATTTATCGTTTCATGTTAGTGATGAATTACCCAATGTTGTTTCAACACTTGCACTTAATATGAATACAAATCCAGAATCAACTAATAAAATAGTACATGATTGTTTATCAAAAGTTTTATTTGAAAAAGATGCTCAAGATGAAGATAATATAATCAATCTTGAAGAAATACAGAGCAATGCCGTGAACTGTACTCAAGTCTTCAAAAATTCATTCAATAATTTGCAATCATCCAATGATTCACCCACCATTGATAAAATTTTATTACATTGCTATACCGATATGTCAAGAAAAGAGTTTTGCTCGACGTTATTAAACATACTAAGAGATGCTCATATCTCTAAATCACATGCTAATCGTCTTTTATCTTTCATCCGTTCTACATTGCCGATACCTAATGCTGTACCAACAAGAATAGAACAACTTTTAGAATTCTTAGAAATCGATAATTATCTTCTGAAAAAATATATGCTATGTACAATATGTAACAATATTTTATCTCATTCGGATACTTTTTGTGCAAAATGTTTATGTTCTGATAGTAAATGTTTCGCCATAGTTTATGATATGAACGTGGAACAATTAATTAAAAAGATTTATATTCGTTTAAAAATGGACATTGATGAATATCGTGAACATCTTCGGACAATGAATGATAGAGATGATATGAATGATATTGTTTTCAACAAAATTTATCAACAGTTATTGAGAGATAATACGAATAAAAATTTTATAACATTTTTACTTCATGTAGATGGAATAAGTCTTTCAGAATCTTCCAACTTGAAGATGTGGCTTTTTAGTGGATCGATAATAGAACTAAGACCACAATTGAGAAATCGTCGCTACAATATGGTGCTGTTTTCATTATGGTTTAGTTATACTGAACCAGATACACAAATTTGGTTAATCAATTGTATAGATTTAATCAAATTTATCAAAATGAAAGGTAGCTACATAAATGAAACAATAACCTTTTTTTTACGAGTCAGTGAATATATGAAAATTGCCTAACAAAGGGAACAGAAACATGAAGAAATGTAGGACACTTTAACGGGAAGTTTGAGTTTCAATCCATCTTGAGATGAGTGTAAGGTAGTCGAAGAGTCTAAAGAAATTGGTGGAAACTGGATGAATATTGTAGGTACCTGAATACCTGGAAAAAATATAGCCCTTAAATTATAATCGATATCTATGAAACGACTTCGTATGTGGCTTTATTTAAAAGAATGGAGAATATTTTGGTTCATGGTAGAGTAACTTTTATTTTCCTATTTATTTATTTCTTCAACAACTGACGACAGATGCTACTGATAAAGTATTCATTTATTTTCTTGTTACAGTTTGTAATCGATCTATTGACGTATACATGAGAAGAACATAACAAAAATATTGATTTGTAATTGGTTCATTATTAGACTTATCAGAAAATATTAAGTTTACCCTCACTACCATTAACTAGAAAAAATTAAAATCTATCATTTATATACTTACGACGGAAGACAATAAATCTAAACAAATTAAAAGAAACCTTTGATAAGATTTTACTAATATACTAAAACCATATGTTTTTCGTACTTTCTTTCTTTTATTCACTCTTTGTTGTCTCGTGTATTTGATTTATTAATCAGTACGCTGAAAGGTATGAATGAGCTCCGTGCCATATAATCAATAAGGATCTTTATATGATCTAATAAATAATATTTTCCTTTATTTATTTTAGGTGTTATAATAGATCACAATCATCGTATTGATCTCAAATTTTTATCTATTACCGGTGATAGTCCAGCTTTACGGAATATTCTTAAGTTTATTGGACATGGAGGTTATTTCTGCTGTAATTTCTGTTATACACGTGGTCAACATATTGAAAGAAAACGACAATATTTTTATGAAAAAAAAACGGTTCTTCGTTATAGCTCAACATATAATAAAGAATCAGCAGCAGCTGAAAAAACGAAAAAAATTATATATGGACATAAAGGTAACTTACTATTTTCGAGATTTTCAGTTGCAATATATTGAGAAATTGAGAAAAAATACATTTGCATTATTGTTGTCTAAGATTCCTAAGAATCAAAGATATCCTGTATTTAATCATTTTTGATCAGTAGCTATTTGTTAGTATACTCTCATAATAGAATCAATAACTATGAAATACAGCCTTCATAAAAATATTAAAAGTAAACTTGTGTCTTTCATAGCTTATTACAAACGAATGAAAAGACAGGATTGGAAAACAAATATATACGAATAATTTAGATTTTATTTAAAAATTGGTCGAAAATTCAGTAAAACGGTCATAACTCGGATTCAAAGGCCTATAGGATCAAACCTTTTAAGGCTTTTGCTAGTCTTACTGAGATCTCTTTACTGGTCCAATATGATCTCAAACAGCGGATGTCACGTAGGAGAAGTTTCCTCCTGAGTTTTTAAAGAAATTTAAATGAAGAAATGCCGCATCGTGTCTACTCTCCCTCGGACAGAAAAAAAACAACCTTTTCTATTAGTTCGTTCCCCTCTATAATTCATCATTAGATCTTTAGTTTCTTACATATGGATACAGTGTGAGTTCAACTACATATATATCCTTACAAAGATAATTCACTAATTTACTAGCTCAGAATTTTTAGACATATACAAAGAACTCTCATTTTCATAATATTGAACAAATACAAATAATATTGGGTTGTAAGAAGATAATGATAGAGGTCTGAAATTTTTAGTATAGATAGAACTGGTAGAGGTTCACCTACACTAAAAGTTTCAGACCTCTATCCTTATCTAAGCATGAGATATAAAGTCTCCAGTTTTTCTACAAAACTCGCAGAATTTATCTAACAACCCAATATTATTTGTATTCGTTCAATATTATGGAAATCAGACTTTTTTTGTATATGTCTAAAAAATTCGAGCTAGTAAATTAGTGGATTGTCTTTGTAAGTATATATATGTAGCTTAACTCATGCTCTATCCATATATATGAAACTAAAGATCTAACGATGAACTATGGAGGAGAACGAGCTAATAGAAAAAGGTTGTTTTTTTTGTCCGAGGAAGACTACTTACACATTTATAATGCAACAAGAATCGTTTTAGTAAAGAAAAATGAATTACAAGTCCTCTTCCAAGTTTTTATGAAAGTAACATATTGAAAATATTCGCAGTAAAAGCCATGTGAAGCAACCTGATTTTTTTTCTTGAATAACATAGGAATTTTTTTCTCTTTTTTGCTGCAGGTATTTCTATTTTACAAAATATACTTGATACAAAATTACCAGAAGCAATAATAATCGATTATCAACATGTCAGTTTACTAAGACATACGAAAACAGTTCTTAGTACAATTTACAAACAATTTAATCCTTCTCATCGTCGATTAATTGATATTAAACTGAAAAATCAATGTTTTCCACATTTTTTCAACCGACGTATGATACCTTTCAAGAATTTATCATTTATAAAGGCTATTGAATTACGTAATATTTTATTGTATGGATTTTTACCTTTATCATATGAATTTATGAATCGTGAACAATTAGCTCATTTCGCTTTATTCATATGTTCTTTTCGTTTATATCATTCTCAACCTCCAATGTTTGGTCGAGAAACCGTAAGAATAGCAAATCAATTGTTCGAACAATATTATAAAGATCATAAAAAATTTTATCGTCTTATTCAAAATTATGTTCTTCATTTACATTCCCATTATGGTAATCAATATGTTAATTATGGATCATTGGCAAATATTGGATGTTTTTCTCAAGAAGATCTTTTAGGTCATATTAGCTCTAATACTCATGGTACAAGGTACTATGGTGATCAAATAGTTCATTATTATAATATTGATTTTTCTTTAAATAATCGATTATCCAAGGCAAAATATGAGATATACTCTAAACCAATAGATTTGAATGCTGATTTTATCATCGATAATTATTCAATAATTATAGAATATCATAATCGAATATGTAAATGTTTAAATATTTCAAAATGTATATCCATTTATCGTCGATGTATTATTCGAAACAACACCTTTCATTCTTTACTATATAAACGAGGAACAAAATCAAAGAGCTATTTTATTAGCTACTATACATCAACAAACGATAATGAAAAATATTTTGGATTCATCCATTTGTTTTTTTATTGCAAAGATACAACATATGCTGTTATTGAACGCTTTCAAAATATGCAAAAGTTTAGTTCTTCATTTAAGTCATCATCTTATTTTGATTTATTAAAAAAACCATTAGACAGTTGTTTCAGTATTGTTTCCAAAGAACCAAGTGATATATTTGATATTGTTGAAATTGGTCATATTATTAAGCATTGCATCGTATTTGACTTTGAACAACACTTAATTGTAACTGAAGTTTCTGCTTATCACGAACATGACTAAAAAGAATTTTATTGTTAAGTTTTTTTTTATTGTAAAGTGAGTTTGAACAGCAGTAGAAAATATAAAAGCGAATAATGAATATAAGACTGTCACGAAGAACATAATTTTGATTTTTAACAAAAATCATATGTATTTATTCAAGCTTTCAACAGGCTACATCTATCATCGTCAGGAATAACAATACGAAAAGAAACAGAAAAACCTCTGCTTATATACATTCAATATGAAATAAGAGAACAAACAAATTAATTAGTGCATAATAATAACTTGCGACTTATTATTATGTACTAATTAATCTGTTTGTTCTCTTGTTTCATATTGAGTGTATATAAACAGAGGTTTTTCTTTTTCTTTTCGTATTGTTATTCCTGACGATGATAGATGTAGCCTGTTGAAAGCTTGAATAAATACATATGATTTTTGTTAAAAATCAAAATTATGTTCTTCGTGACAGTCTTATATTAATTATTCGCTTGTATTTTATTGATTTTAAAACATCCTAAAGAATAAAACTTTATTTGAACAATATTTTTTTTTAACCACAAGCATATTAAGCAATAGGTTTGGAGCTCATGTTGTTTTTTAAAAAATAGACCATTTAAGCTAATCATCAAGATAATTTCATTGAAAAGCTTGAGGTCTGAAATATTCTTTATTAAATTCTATTGTATTAAAAATTTCTGCTTCATTTACATGCGACAAAACAAGTTACATTTTCTTGACAACGTGTTTTTAATATTTCTCAGATTCGAATAAATTAGTATATGTCATTATTGAATTGACAAGACGTTATAATCTTGTATGCTATGTTGAGTTATTATGGATACAGTATTATACGATCTGAATTAATTGGAGATTTCGTTTTACTTTGTAATTTAGTATTTTTGTTTCAGATTTTTTTGTGTATCATTGGAAATGAATCGATCTCCTAGAAGAAAAACACAACCAAAAAAATTTTCACCTACACAATCTTCAATATATTCTCCTCAAAATTATTTATTACGATTCGAAGATAATGGTGAACTGATTGTGGCAAAGCGATCTAGTATCAGATCAATTACCGAAGATAAAGCAATTGTTGGTGTAGGTAGAAAACGTCGTATAGCAACAGTCGAAGCTAAAGGTAAAATTGGCACTTCGAGTTTCTAAGTTAGTCGATGTCTTTTATCTTATCGGTAACTCTTCATTAGTTCGAAGACATATTATACGTTTTAGTGTCTTGGATAACGCCTATACACAATTAATAATATAGATAATGAATTTGAAAGTCAACACCGGTTTCGCATTAGATTATGCATTATATTTCTATAGAGATCAAGTGGGATAGATGAATAAGATGAATGAATAAGTTTGCCACTATCAGATAAGTAAGTTTAAGATCTCCAGGCGGCAAATGTCATCTAATAATTGTACAATTACAGCGCTCATAATATGACTATTGAGTTGCTGAAATTTAACTGAGTACAATATCGTTATACTTTGGAAGATAAATAGTATAACATATGTCTAGTACGCGAAAATCTACATAACAACAATAATTCAAATAATTTCAAACTAAATCTATTAGTCTAGGTATAGACACTTATATTTATATTTATTCGTAAACATACATAAAGATACATATCCTTTAGCATAAATGTATTTATTTATGTAATTGCGTGGATAAAATCGTATATAAATTCTATTGTGTGCGCATACGACTGTATCTATATACATATGCTTAAATATCTGGAATATCAATTGTACATAAATGAAACATTATAAAATAGGTGTCTTCACTGTGAAAGCATTAAAAATTCTTTAGCATAAAGAAATATGCTAGGTAATAACAAAACATTAAACTAGATGTTTATTTATTTATATTCTTTAATTAAAGGCAAGGATCCGAGAAAGATAAATAATTCTTTAGAATATATGGATTCTATAGCGAAATCAGTTCGAATAGTAGAATATTTTAATTTGATTCCGCTGCTTCGGATTCACCAAATTGATATTCCAGAAAATTAAGTCAATTTGATTCCTAAGTTAAATTTTTCTATTAACCCCACTATATTTTATGCTATCAGATTAAAGGTTATAATAAAAGGATAACCATGTTCAGCTTTTATTACAGGAAGTTATAGTCAATGTAATGTTATGTATGAACAAATGACATCAGATGAATCCAACGTCACAAATGAACAAGAAGGTAAAATATTTTCAGATCTCTTATTTGACTGGGACGCAGACATTGTTTTTCTTTTTGCAATAATAAAATGTTTTGATTTAGATATTTTTGATCAATCAAATGAATCAGAGGAAGATGGCTCATTAAGTGACGACAACAATCAAAATCAAATACAAAGTACGTGTATTTTGTTTTGCTCATAAGCGAAGATTAAGTATTACTTTTTTTGTTTTATCATTGTAGTACACTTACCATTAACACAAAAAAGAAAGTTGTCTTCGTTAATAATGGATGATAGTGATGGTAAAAATGTGCAACAGATTTTTTTGCATTGAGTAGAACTGGGTCTTTTTATTACAAGATAAAGTCAGAATTGATAAAGCAGTTGTCTGCGCTCCTCAATTAAAAACTAAATTTTGAAAGAAGATTATTTTTATCGTCTTTTAGAAGAATCTGACGACAATTTACCTATATTGAAACAGGAATTAACAACAAATCAAAGTGAGTAATGCTATCACAATCTTAGCTGCGAAAACTTTTAAAAACGAACCAGTCTTCTTAGAACGTCGTCGGCCTTTTGATGAATCGTCATCAAATGAAAGTGACTTTTATCATTTGCTAATGTTCATCTATTCTATAATGATTATGTTACTTTCTAGATGATATTACATCCAACACAAGTTCGAAAAAATCTCTATCTTCAGAATGTAAGTGTCGCTGTCTGAGCTGAGAACGGAAAAAAATAGTTTCATTATATTTCAATTTTTTTTGAGTCAATGAAACAGAATGCATATCTACGATATAACAACTAACTATAATATCAACCAACAATTCCTACAAAATCGTACCAAGTGTTTTTATCTTATTTTCATAAAAATATTTAAATGTAAAGATAAGTCAAAGAAAAAAATGTATTACGAGGGGACGTTTTCAACTGTTCAATCCCTTTTGAGTTCCGACTTTGTGCAAAAGATGGACCCTAGTGAGATATGAATAACCCCAAAAGATTAAATGCTCTTAGGTTTTCTGTCCAAGCTTATAGGCATTCTACTGGAATTTTAACCTATGCCATGGTACATACTAATAAATCAAATGATGGTATTTTGACCTGAGATTTTGCCCATAGGCAGGTCCATTTATGAGTAGAATATCTTGAAAATTTCAACCGAAAAGAACGTTTCCTTCCAAAGATATTTAAGTCCCAAAAAACAGAAAATTCTAGCATCTTTTCTAGTATATGAGTCATTTTTGGGACTTAAATATCTTGGAAAGAAAATGTTCTTTTCAGCTGAAATTTTCAGGGTATTTCACTCACAAATGGACCTGCCTATGGGCAAAATCTCAGGTCGAAATGCCATCATTCGATTTATTAGTATATATCATGCCATAGGCTAAAATTCCAGTAGAATGCCTATTAGTTTGGACAGAAGGCCTAAAACTATTAAATCTTTTGGAATTTTTTTATACCTTACAGGGGCCCACCTTTTGCACAAAGTCGGAACTCAAAAGGGATTGAACAGTTGAAAACGTTCCCTCGTTAAAATATTTATAAAGGTCCTCTGGTATTGTTCAATGTACTGTATTTTTCCGAAATTGTCTGTATTGCAAAAAACGACTTAACTTTCTAAAGATTAATTTAAGAAGGTTGTTGTTTATTTTCAGTGCATGTTCTATATCAAACATTCGATAGCATGACCAATTCCATTGTACAAAAATTTGAAAAAAAACTGGAAGTTTTTAGTAAAAAAATTGATCAACTACTTCCAAATTCAGTGCGTCTTTCAGAGTCATACAACCGTTTGTTAGACTCAATATTTTTTTTATACTTTAGGTTGATCAAGGCTTAAATTTATACAGAGACAAGGACGAGGTTTTTCGTTTGACTGTTGTGAGTATTACTTAGTATATATTTATTTTTCTTATTGCTCCTACGTTTCGTTGCAGATGTATAATGGTAAAGATCTATTAACAACACGTGCTAGAGATATATATGATTTCGCTCGGCAAACTTTACGAATATTATTCACACCAAAAGAATTGAACGAATGTATTTTGCCACCAGGTAGAAAACATTTAGCACGACCTGCATTAGATGCAGAACGATTCGATAAATTTCACGGTAGGTTTTTCTAACTCTATCTGAGATATATTTTTTTCTCAATTCCAATTAAACAGTGATTTAGAAGACAAGGAGGTTGAGAAATTTTCGTTTATATCTACTGAATCATGCTTCCTATCATTGAATATAAGCCTAAACCACGTTCTATCTAAAGATATAAATTTCTATTAGTATCTACCAGAACGTCTACAACGTCTAAACTATGCTGCCTAACCTATCATTCTTTTTATCGCTTCTTCCGAATTGAAACCAAGAATACTGACGAAAGTTCATTTTCAGCTGGCTTTCTTTGCCTAAAAATTTGATTAAACATAAAAAAATAATGCGTTGTTTGATTCCCGTACTTCTCGAATTCCACGATCTTTCAAACATACTGCGAACTTCACTATCATAAATTCTTAATTCATAACGAAGTTTCTTTATTTAGAAGCCGTTCGCGTCAAATATCATATATCAGCATTACATTATGATTCCTGTTATTCAAAGTTAATTAAACCACGATTATCTGACTTTTTATGTGATGAACGAAAACGACAAGCGAAAGCTCTCGTACAATCCTCAACAGCAGCAGAAAACACATTTCAAGCTCTTCAATAACTTTTTTTTTCTTCTCTCTGTGTGATATTGAGCAAGATATATCTTCTTGAACGTCTTAAAGGCATCTTATAAAGAAGGTTTTCTTATTTTGCTCGAACTAACGCTCAGATGTGCAAACAGCACCCCATTTTTATGATATTGATTTTATTTACTGTCTTCGTTTTTATCTTTTTTTAACATCATATAACCGCTAAAAAAAATAAATGAATTCTTTCACTCTTCAACAAGGAAAAAAAGAAGCTCTTATTTATTAAGCTATCGTAAACGGACTCAAAATAAACGAATCGTGGTATTTTTTTATTTAGAAAGAACTTCATATTGAAAGAGTAAACTATTGTACCTCTAGATAAATAATTAAGTTTTATATTTGATGTAACATATGTATATATATATATCTATCTATGTACATGGACAAAAAACAAAAGCTGAACAAAAAAAAATAATGAAAATAGTTTAATAACTTCAAGGCTACATGGCAAAAGTAGAAGAAAAAAATATTGAATAGCTTTTTCTTTTACATACCAACCCCATTAATAGTTATATCTTAATAAACAATAAATCTTCAAATCAAAATAATATGAACATAGAAGTCAAAGAAACAATAAAATATATAAAAACAACAAAGAAAAATAGCATCATTTTTACGAAAAAAAAATCACCTTGTTTTGTTCAGTTTGTTTTCTTTGGATCATCTGTCTTGTCCTTATATTCTTCGACATCTCGATACAAAAAAACCCGCTGTTGACTTTTTTACTTCATATGCCATTACCGAGCAATCAGCACTTATTACACAACGCACCTGTGCTTCTGAAAAGACTGGTAACTATTCCCGCTGAATCAGCACTGTTTCAGCGCTGCATCGGCGAAGGAAAAAAAGATTCTTGAAAAAGGACTGGTAAATAGTCCCGCTGAATCAGCGCTGTTTCCGCGCTGAATCAGCCAAGAAAATAAAACACTTTTCCGAAAAGACGGGTAACTACGGCGGCTGAATCAGCGCTGACACAGCGCTGAATCGGCCAACGAAAAAAAAGTGTTTTGAGAAAAGACTGGTAACTACTGAAGCTGTATCAGCGCTCTTTCAGCGCTGAGTTAGCCAACGAAAAAAAAAAACTTTTGAGAAAAGACTAGTAACTAGTGCGGCTGAATCAGCGCTGTTTCAGCGCTGAATCGGCGAAGAAAACAAAATACTGTTGAGAAAAGACTAATAAGTAGTCCATCTGAATCAGCGCTGTTTCCGCGCTGAATCAGCCAAGAAATAAAAGACTTTTGAAAAAAGACTGGTAACTAGTGCGGCTGAATCAGCGCTGTTTCAGCGCTGAATCGGCCAAGAAAACAAAATACTGTTGAGAAAAGACTAATAAGTAGTCCATCTGAATCAGCGCTGTTTCCGCACTGAATCAGCCAAGAAATAAAAGACTTTTGAAAAAAGGCGAGTAACTAGTGCGGCTGAATCAGCGCTGTTTCAGCGCTAAGTTAGCTAACGGAAAAAAGACTTTTGAGAAAAGACGGGTGACTACTGCGACTGAATCAGCGCTGAATCGGCCAACGAAAATAAGGGTTTTGAGAAAAGGTTGGTAACTACTGCGGCTGAATCAGCGCTGTTTCAGCGCTAAGTTAGCCAACGAAAAAAAAGACTTTTGAGAAAAGACTGGTAAGCACTCTAGCTGAATCAGCGCAGTTGCAGCGCTGAATCAGCGAAGAAAGAAAAGACTTTTGAGAAAAGACTGGTAACTAGTGCGGCTGAATCAGCGCTGCATCGACGAAGAAAAAAAGAGACTCTTGTGAAAAGACTGATAACTATTCCCGCTGAATCAGCAGTGTTTCAGCGCTGAATGAGACAAGGAAAATAAAGAAACTTTTGAGAAAATAGTGGTAACTAGTGCGGCTGAATCAGCGCTGAGTTAGCCAACGAAAAAAAAGGCTTTTGAGAAAACACTGGTAACTA